ATATATATATATATATATATATATATATATATATATATATATATATATATATAGGTCATTCCATACCAAATTATCGGATTTGAAAAATCATATTTTTTTATTTAACTTAATTTTTGAAATTTTTTTGTATCAAAAGACGCTTACCTGTAAATTTTTAACTCTTAATAAGGTAAAAGACCCATTTTTTAACACTGGCCTAATTATTGACACTTACAATTTTATTTTAATTAAAAAAAAGCCAACTCTAATAAATTAATAAATACAATTTGTGAATTACAAATTTTTAGATGATTGGTTTTTTGAGAATATTTTATTTTTTTAATTGAAATAAAATTGCAAGTGTCAAACAACTAGGCCATTGTCAGTAACTGGATCTTTTACCTTATCTAAAATTTTTTATAATATGAATTGTTGAAAATTTCAAATATAGTGGTATGTCAAGTTTGAAAAATTCAAAACTCGGAATCAGCTTTTTTTTCGCCTTAAAATGTAGTTTTCGAAAAAAATTATGAGAATAACGAATTTTTTTTCTATTTCTCTTCCAATTTTAAACTAAAATTTTGAGTTTTACTGAAGAGCGACATTTGTGATTTTTTTTTAAATATATATTATGCTAGACAATAAAACAGATTTTTTAATGCAACTATCCAAAATAAGATTCGAACATCTTCAATTTTTTTAACCCACTTTTTCTTACTTTTTTTTTCCAAGAGTCTGCGTTTTTTTATAATTTATAAATATTCCACAAAAATTATAATTAATACCAATCAATAGTGTCAATTATCCAAAGTACTTATGAGTAGAAAAAAAAAGTAAATATATTTTCGCAATGAATCAGGTAAGTTACGTACTTTAGATAGTTTGTACGATAGATTAGTATTAATAATAATTTTTTAAGCTAAAATTTTTCCGAAATATTTATAAATTATCAAAAAACACGGATAACATATATTTTTTCAAAAAAAAATCAAAAATGTGATTCTTCATAATAACTCAAAATTTGAAGTTAAAATTGGAAGAAAAATTGAAAATACAAAAATTCCATCAACATTTATGAGCTTTTTAAACTTGACATACCACTATTTTTTTTTAATTTTCAAAAATTCATATCTTGAAAACTTTTAGAGATTAAGGACGAAAAATTAACATGTAATCGGCTTTTGATACATACAAAAAAATTTTTAAAATTCAGCTGAAAAAAAAATGATTTTTCAAATCCTGTGATTTGGTATAAAAAAGCCTATATGTTTAATATGTAGAGTCTAAAGAAGCTATAATGAAGTAGCGAAACATTGTGATTAAAAATTTGCTGATTGGTGTTTTTTTTCTGATCCAAAATACTTCTTATTCTAAAACTCAATTAAATTTTTGAATTTGATGTTATATAAAAAAATATTTTATTATTATTAACTTACGTCGGAACAAATGCTGCCACATTGGTAACAATGCTATGTAAAATCCAACATCTCCGAGGCTGGGATACGATTTGAAGATAGCTATTATTGCCAAATAAGCAAATGACAACAACATTGGATCATTGCGTAATCTCAATGCCAATGGTACGACGTACAACAGACCGACATTTATTTGAAATGATGCGATGAACAAGCCACGAAAATGTTCAAACATTTCAGTGAAGAAATACCAATACAGTCCAATGTTTGGTCTTAAATCGGGCACTATTAGTATGAAGCCCATTGTGTTTTTGATGAAATTCCAATTGCCCATTATGTGATAAGACAGATAAATAAACAAAGACAATATCGTTAAAAATAGTGTCACCATAGTTAAAATAACTTTCACAGTCTCGCGGTTTGTTTTAGCATCTTTGGCGACAAATATTGTAGCAGCAACAATCAACGATGCAGGATACAAATTTTGTAATGTTAACAGAGATATTATCAAACAGGTTGCAAATTTGTGTTTCTTTATCATGAAACAGAGAGCAAGAGATGTAAGCAGGTTTGTAAATACTGTTGTTGTCAACGCGACACAATTCAAGACAATGTAAGGGTTGAAGAGGTAAGCTGCTGGAACGTAAAATACTGATGATGTCGCTGTTTTAGATATTGGTGTGTATGATAACTCTTCAGTTGAGTTCTTAGATAATGGTGTGTATAACTCTTCAGCTGGTTTCTTTATTTTTTTGGCTTCTTCTTTTTCTCTTTTTTCCTGAAATCAAAGTGATAATTCATTAATAAAAGTTTGAGTTACAAAAAAAAATTTTTAACATGTACATGATTATTTATTAATGTTAAGTTTATTATCAGAAGAAGATTCTAGCAAGAAGAAATCAAGAAATCTTAAAGATCAATGGCTTTTAATTCAATTTTTCTAATCTATTTCCAAGTCGGATACGGAAATTAAAAAAAATGTCACCTGTGATCGGAATTTAGTATTAAATTTTTTTTTTTTTTTTTTTTCTTAATTTGTTTAAAGTCGCATAAACTACTAAGGGGGCGTCCATAAATTACGTGAGGCATTTTTGAGAATTTTTTGACCCTCTCTTCCCCCTTAATGAGATTTCGTAAGATTTTCCTCAACTCTCTCCCCCCTCCCCTAATCTCACGCGAGATTCTTCAAAATTTATGTTTTGGCTGTAAACGTGTTGGATTAGTGAAAAAAAAAGCGCCATTCGGCTACACCCCACATGAATAGGTAGATTTCTTATTTGAATATTGAAAAAAACACGTTATTAAAAGGCCGTCATGTCCTAAAATTCATTTTTTTTATTTTATTTTTGCAAATAACGATATGAGACTGACTACAACAAATTGATATTCAAAGACATTTACCTAAAAAATAGGATTCTTTACAGATAAGTCATTTGATATGATAAAAGCTAAAATTTAAATTATTCTTGATTTTTTTTTAATTTTCTCAACTACGAAATAAATTGAAAAAAATATTAAAAGTCGACGAACAATAGCTTAAATAGAAGATAATTAAACATATTATGACAAAATTTTATTAAAATTACGACATGAGACCGGCTACCACCGATAAATTTCTAAAGAAATCTACCTAAAAAATTAATGAATCCTATCGATCAATAATCAAATTAAACAATCGAGCGCTACTTTGCTGCTCTGCAGGGTTCAGACGAATACGACAAACACTATTGTGTCAAATTTGGCCATATTTTATTATAGAAATACTTTTTCACGCAATGTTACACT